TATGCCACTTTATAACCCCATGACCACCAACGTTGAGGATGGCGCTGGGTGCTCATGACGTCACGCGCACGAACGTTTTGGGGTCAAAGGCCGATTACAGCCAATTGGAATAACAGGAGGGTTATTTAAACTTATTTTTACATTCTCTCATTGCCCTGTCGTGGTTTCTGCCTGATGGTAATCTAAGAGTGCGTTCCTGATCTTGATATTTTGGTATTTGACTTTGGCTTTGTTCTGACTTCCCTGATTTCTGGCATCCTTGACTTTTGGCTTTTTCTCATTGTTGTGTCTGATTCTGTATCCCTGACCTCGGCAAGTATTCTGACTATTCTTGGATACGTTAAGTCCAGCCATTCTAAGGTCCGGTTAGACGTTATCCCTAGTCCTAGGTGTGCTGGATCAATTAGTAATCCTGACATTATGACAGGGCCATAGATCCTGCAGAATTGTGTCAGCACATAGCTGCTTGTGAGAGAAAGCTAGAGGAGAATGATCACTGTATGGATTAATATGCCCAGGCTTTCAGCATGCTTCTTACCCAAACAGCGCACCTACCGCCTCTGCCATCTAATGTACCCCAACCTATAGTACTTTCTCCCTATCTCCTCCCCCGCATTTTGATGGGAATATTTCAGAATGCCAGGGATTTCTAGAAGCAGAACCAGACATTTGACCCTATCATTAGTACCTCGATTCTCCAAAACTGTTGTCCTTGACCTCCCGGTGCGATCTGAACCCAAACCTATGCAACTAGGGGTTACGAGATTGTCTGAGGCAGAGAAACAGTATAGGACAAGAGAGGGTAAAAAAAAGGACATATGAGAGATACTTGTCCTATACGCCCGGAAGACTTCCGCACCTAAGAACCTTAAGAGGACAGATCTTAGGTGTGATGGATACCTCTGCTAGTAATCACCAAAGTAGATTTCACCTTGACACTGTCACCCTTTGCAACAAGAAAAACTTTTCATGCAAAGCCCTAGTAGACCCAGGTGCGGCAGGTAACTTTATTGACATATATTTTGTTAAAAAACACTCTATACCTGTCAAGGAGAAACCTTCACCTCTGGCGGTTGAAGCTATAGATGGGAGACCTCTCTCTCTCAACCACTGATTACCCACGAGACCTTGCCTATCTGTGCACTGCATAAAGAATTCCTTACATTTCAGATAATCGCATACCCTTCGTGTCCATCATATTAGGCTCATCAAGCACAACCCTCATATTAACTGGGCCAAACGGGAAATACTGGAATGGGGTGCAGACTGTCAGGAGGGTTGTATGTCACCTCTTACTAAAAGGGTGGGCACCGTTACTTTACCTACTATTGCATCCACTACCCCTGAAATACCCATGCAGTTTTGGGAGGTTAGGGAAGTGTTCAGTAAAAGTCAAACTGATGTTCTACCTCCACATAGAACATATGATTGTTCCATTGATCTGTTGCCTGGGGCCATGCCTCCTTAAGGGGCGGTTTATGCTGTATCCCCACAAGAGAGAAAAACCATGGAGGAGTACATCAGAGATGCCTTAAGTATGGGTCACATATGCAAATCATCATCCCCTGCTGGTGCAGGTTTCTTTTTCATGTCTAAAAAGGATGGAGAATTACATCCTTGCATTGACTATAGGGCATTAAACAAAATCACCATAAAAAATAGCTACCCCATTCTCCTTATCTCTGAATTGTTTGACAGACTCCAGGGTGCATAGTTCTTTACCAAACGTGACCTCAGGAGTGCATACAATTTGGTCAGGAATAAGAATGGTCACAAGTGGAAAACGGCATTTAACACTAGAAATGGACACTATGAATATCTTGTTATACCCGTCGGGTCATGTAATGCCCCAGCCATATTTAAGGACTTCATTAACGATGTGTTAAGGGATTACATTTACTCATTGGCACTTGTATACTTTGATGATATCGTTGTTTATTCCCCTGACCTCCAGACGCATCATGATCATGTTAAACAAGTATTACAAACTTTACTCAAGAATGGTCTTTATTGTAAACTTTAGAAATGCATGTTTCATCAACTTGAAGTACAGTTTTTGGGGTGCAATATATATCCGCCTCTGGTTTCCAGATGGATCCTCACAAACTGGC